AATTTTATGAGGGAAAGAAAAGAACCAAATAATATTAATAATTAATTATTAATCATTAGTTGTTATGATATTATTAGAATTACCATGCAAGTGCAAGTTGAGCCAATGTAGCATTAAGTCTATCAGCAATTGGCTAATAAGTTCATGTAAAGTATAAATTAAATTTTTTTTAAAAAAAAAACAGAATACATTATCCTAATAAATTATGTAGATTACCTTTAAATTCTCAACCTTTTCAAGCTTAGTTTTCCCTTGATTGCTCAACAGTTCTTCTTTTAAACGTTGCATTACAGCATTCTCCCTTAGAGTTAGTCTTGATCCTTCAGCTATTTGTCTATTATGTTTACCTGTTAGGATGCCGCTTGCAAGTGGTGACCATGTAGCTGCTCCCATTTTATATTCTTTAAACAAATGAAGATATTCATTTTCAACCCTTTCTCGATGAAACATATTATATTGCACCTATAACGATCATATCATAATTGTTGTTGTAATGATTGATTGGTCGATTGATTATTTAAATATTCAATTCATTAATTGATTGTCAACTTACTTGTTCGACCTAATTAATATTAGAAGAAGAGAAGAAGGAGAAAATGAAAGTATTTAATTATAATCATTATTCCTTATTAAATGATAAAGGTAATAATAATACTATATTAATGTACCAATGGAGATATTAGACCCAATCTATTTGCTATGCCATGTGCTTCAACAATTTGATCAGCTGGCCATTCAGATGTTCCCCAATAATATGCTTTACCCTGATCAATCACAAAATTAAATGCTCTAACTATTTCTTCCATTGGCTGAAAATAAATATAAATACATGCGAGTTAAAAGATTTATCATCATCATCACACCATCATCTTGTTGATCTAATTAATTCTAATCATCATTTTCATTAAGCAACATTATTAACTTACTGTATCAGGATCTGGTCGATGTGCATATACTAAATCTACATAGTCTAAACCTAATCTTTTTAAAGAAGCATTCAGCCCCTCAACGATATGCTTTCTAGATAACCCTCTATCATTAGGACCTTTTCCACCCCAAAATATCTTTGTTGAAATTACAAAATCTGAACGTTTCCAATCCAAAATTTTGATTGCATTGCCCATATCTAATTCAGATTTCCCACCAGCGTATACTTCAGCTGTGTCAAAATAATTTACCCCATTCTCAAATGCTATTTGCATACATTCTCTTGTAGTTTCTATTATATTATATTTGAGAAAGAAAGTAAATATTTTTAAAATGCAAAATGTAGATCAAATTTAATTTTGGTCATTAATCAATTAAATACCAGGAGCAACTTGACCACCAAAAGTTACCCATCCACCAAGAGAAATAACCGACACTTTAAGTCCACTGTTTCCTAAATACCTATATTCCATTTTAGTTGTTCTTTTAGTTTTTTTAAGAGGCTTGGGATCTATATCCATTTTTAAATTTTGGTTTTTTTTTAACGGTTTTTGTTGATGATTTAAAATAAATAAATGAATGAATGAAACCAAAGAATCAAAAATGGTAATGTGGACGTACACTCGTAAATTAACCAATAATAAATAGTAAGGAAATTAGAATTTAATTAATATTAAAAAAATGTTTTTTTCAGACTACTTGTATTTATATTAAAAATTCTGTAATTTATCCATTGAAATGTGCTAAGATAATTAAAGGATAATTTATTCCTTATTAATATAAATATAATTTTCAGACTCAAAATTACGATGTCGAATATTATTTCGGATACTCGTTGAATGCTCATTATTTGTATAAATTCTAACAAACTATTATTGATTTTTTCTTGTTCTTTAATTGATAAAGTTTCTTTTTGGACATCATCAATTTGATTGTTCATTTCAAGCTATATCAAAAAATTATTAATAAATTATATCATCATACATTTTAAAATTTATACAATTGAAAATTTTCTGCAAATTCCCATTTGGGTTTTGAAAGAATTACTTTTTAAATGAAAATGTTTTCTGAATAAATATTTTAGTTGTTGTAAAAATATGTTATCTTTATTATCTTTGAAAAATGTTTGTTATATAGTAGGATAAGTTGAATTGTTTGGCTTGCTTTTTTATTTGGGTGCTAAATAAAAAACATAATTAAATATTAATTCCTTATTGAAAGAAGATAAAATTATTAACACCATACCATTTTCTCTTTAAATGTGATATATTCAGCTTTACATTTCTTTAAAACATTCAAGATATTCAATTCTTCTTGCTTGAAAAAATGTTTTGCTTCATCATTATCAATCATAATCATTAATTCTGAAATATGAGTGCCTGTATGCCTATTATCAATACTTCTCCAGTAGCTTTTTTTGTTGAATTTTTACTGGATATGCAACCAAGATTTGAATCCAAAAGATACCATTGTTTCTTGCTTTCTTAAACTTTTTATCAATAATTTCAATAATTTACAAGTGGCTCATTTGTGAAATTTGGTTCATCATCACCTAATTCATTTTCTTTCTTTTGATATGCATAAAATGCATTAGGATCTGTTGTTCTGATGGCCTTTTCTGGTTTTATATTCACTGATAGTTTTGAACAAAAACTGGTACATCTGTATAGTTTTTATCAGACCTTTAAATTGAACCATAAAAACCAAATCTGGACCAGCTGTATCTTCTGGAACAAAGAATGTTGAGTTTGGAGATTCAGGAAATTGATCTAGACCTGTAAGAGTTTTTAATTTCCTTCATTTTTTACTGCTACCTTTACTAGTAGGTCCAGATGTTCCTTCAACATTATTTCTTTGTGCATTCATTTTAATTAAACGGTTAATATTTTTTTTAACAATATTTATAACAGGTACATGGCAGTAAATTCATCCTTTATATAAGAAATTTAGTAAAGGATCGTTATTCTATGAATTAAGGTGACAAAGGATACAAATTGATTGTATTTCGTTTCAGATTAGATCCACTAATTCTCATTTAATTATTATCTTTATTCGAGACAAAGGTTAGAAATTGATTGTATTTCTGATTAGATCTAATAATTTTCATGGATTTAAATTGTTATCTTTATTTGAGACAAAGGTTAGAAATAGACAAATGTTAGAAATTGATTGTATTTCTGATTAGATCTAATAATTTTCATGGATTTAAATTATCTTTATTTGAGACAAAGGTTAGAGATTGGTTGTATTTCAGATTAGACCTAATGATTTAATTGTTATCTTTATTCGAGACAAAGGTTAGAAATTGATTGTATTTCAGATTTAATAATTTTCACAAATTTAATTGTTATCTTTGAGAGAATTGATCATATTTTATTTTAGATTAGATCCAATAATTTTCACAGATTTAACAAATTAATGAGAC